CGCGCGCACACACTCACACTGAGCGACTATAACTAGTAACAAGACATACATGAAAAGATAAGCATCAGAAATATCAAATTAAACAACMCAACAAATTAGGCGGGTTTCCCTCAATGTTCACATATTTGCTTTTGTTTCAGCCAATGTTAATTTAAAGTCAATTTATGTGTGTAAACTGATTCATTTGTTTTGACAGGTCTTGATAACCCAAAATAACTCACGTGAGTCTGTCTTTACTGAGCCTAGCAACAGGCTGGTTTTACCCACAACATGCTCCTGAAGGTCACAGTGATTGAGTGAAAGGATTTACAGAGCTGTTTTCAGAACCACATACAGTACATTGCTGCTTAATGCAAAAGGGAAAAAGGGCTAGTTATCATAAATGAAACCAGACAATAAGAAAAACACGGGAAAACTGTTTGGATTAAGGCTAAAAAGTGGTTCTCCTAAATGAAAACCCGTGTCTGTTTCTTGAGCAATGTGATGACAATATTCAGGCTGATTCTGCTCCCTCTCTTTTTTTTTTTTTAGGAAAACAGAAACCTGGAGTATTTCTGCAAAGACAAACTAAAATACACAATGCATTTGGAGCAACTTCTGAGGCCCGGAACTCCGTCTGCTGCAGATCCACCAGCAGGCACAGAGGATCATTTWGAGGTCTATATTTACATGAATGACTAAACAACTGAAGAGAGCGTTTCTTGTCAGCGAGCCCACATCATGAACTCAGTCGAAAAGCGCCGATCGAGCCGAAGGAGCAGAGGGCATCGGAAGCACAGCAGTGGAGGGTCCTTCCTGGATGAAACTGACCGTGAGGTCAGTAGCCTGACAGACAGGGCCTTCAGGAGTCTCTGCATCGGAGACGAGGCCGTTTATAATGACTCCGATCTCAGTTTGTCTTCACCAAGCACCCAGAGAGACAGACAGCTGGCCTTTAGCCAGGACAGAGGCATCGTGGAGAGAGACAGAGAGGAACAAAAGAGAGCAGAACAGGAAAACTGCAGCCTCAGAGTCCAGCAGTATGGACAGGATTGGATCGTTGGCGGAATGAGTGGAGGAGACACCCACCGAGATCCTCAGTGGGAAGTTTATGGGGAAAGGACACAAGGGATGGTTTCTGCCACATTCCAGCACTCCTTTGTGGAAACCTCTCAACATGAGAAGTCTCTAAGGGAGCGGGAGCTTTCTCTCTACAGCAACGGAGCTTCGGAGCTAAGTTCTCAGCAGCGCAGAAGCCGCTCCCGGGTTTCTTCTCTCGTCAAAGCCTTTAACGCAGATGGACACAGGGACGGGGCAGGGATAGACGAGAAGCTCTGCGAGTGGAGCGACGGGACAAGTTGGGACAGATCAGCTCTCATGAGTTTCCAGAGGGAACTTTCTGAATTCTCTACGTCGTACCAGCAAAGTTTCGACAGCGACCGATTCCCTTCGGCGAGCCCGTTTTCACCTCAAAACACAAACTTCTACTCTTCTCAAGTGGCAATGGCTCAAATGTCTCACAAATCTGCATCTGCGTACGTTCAACACAGCATGGCTGCACAGGTCAACTCTAACTTCTTTATGCACAGCGAGTTCAGTCCCTTCAGGTTATGGAGGGATTACAACCGGTTCCCCTTCCAGCAAGGAGAACTCTCCGGTTTTATGCACTGTTCGGAGTTTCCCAAATGGTACCAGACACCAATGTACAATGAGCTTTCTTATAGGGATCCGAGACACCAAAGAAATACTCTGGCACCTACGGCTCCCCCGACTCGCTCCATCTCCACGTCTACGGTGCTGCAGAAGTCGTCAGCTGTGGAGAAACGCTGCGAGTCAGAGCTGGCGTATCATTATCCTCACAGGAAGGGGACACAGAATCTGGGAACTAACAAACTTCCACCGCAGCGCCCTTCAACTGCGTCGCCAACCACCGAGATGTCCCGACGGGTCAGAGACACCATCAGCTCCGTCAAGACGCTCCAGCAAAAAGTTAAAATGGTATCAGAGCAGAACGTCACAACAGATGAGACGGTTTATCRGCAAGGAGGGCCGTATGGGAGGGAGCATTTGGACAACCCTGTCAACAGGGCCGTGACAGTGGAGCCAAATGTTTTTAACAGTAACACAAGAAGTTCCTTTGGCACTAGCCAGCTGCTCACACCTTTAGTCAACGCACACCAGGAAGCAGAGACGTCAGATTTCCACCACTATGACGTTTCTCCTCAACCGGTGGAGCATCCTCCAGTGCGAGCTGAAAGCAGGGGAGYCAYACCGGATGTCAGGATGTCCAGTTACAAATCTCGGGCCACAAGCCTCCTCTTTAACCTGAAGGACAACAGGAAGAGAGTAAAAAGCACCTACAGTCCGACCAAATTTAAAGCTTTGGATGCGCTGGAGAGAAACAAACAGGAGCCACATGAAACAGTGATCGACATCCCTGCTTTTTCAGATCCAGATATTCAACCACAACAGTTACAAGAACCCAGATGGACAAACGCTGCAGTAAACCAGTACCACAATCCTGGACTTAAAGCTCAGATTTGTCAACCTGAAAGAGCAAACACAAGCCAAAACCCTGAAAACACTTCATTTCAGACACAAGGTCAAGTTCATCCCACTGGATTCAGTAGCTTCATACCAGAAAATTACACAAACTATCAGCTGGCTAATGGGCAGAATCCTTATGAAAATGTAGCATCATTTACTCCCTATAAGCGTGATTATTTTGGATCCATGGAGCAACTTCAACATCCTTATTCAGCTGTTGACACAGCAAGGTTAAACAMCGACAACAATCAAAGCAGAGAGTATTTAATAAGGAAGGCAACTACTGAGCAGGCTTTTAATGAAACAGTGGGAGGAGTATCCTCAAAGGTGACTAGATACGAGCAGCTCATAGAAAACAAACAGAATTACAAAAATGCATCCTCGCTGGAAAAATGGAGACAGACAAACAGCTATGACACAGAGAATGTCAATCTGAGAACAGATGTCTCTTCTTCAAAACAAGACATGGCTCCGTTAACGGAACGCCCAAGAGTGGAAAATCAGTCAAGTAGAAATAAAGTAGATTGGAGGGAAAGTTTGGTTCTTGGTACATCTTCTCTTCAAAAGGCTAATTTGGTCAGTGTTGATGTTTCCAACCAGTTGGAGTTAGAACAGGAACAAAAGACAAAGGAAATCAAAGATGGCATTTTAGCACAAAAAAACAACAGATATACAGWGCAAGATGGTAAAAGCCAAAATAATCTTTACTCTGCAATAGAAAATCCTACAACCACGAAAAATACGAGTCAGATTAATCAGTTTCTGCCCATTCTAAAGGAGCAGGAAAAGCAACAACAACGAACTGAAGTTAAGCCCCAGTTTGAAATTCATCAGAATTCTAATCCCTCCCTCACACATCAGATAAAAGAAAGAAAGGCCACTGAATCAAAGAGTGAAMAGACCACAGCAGAAAATACACGGGACTCCAAAGCAGAGGAGACAAAATCTGAGYCAAAGACTCAGGTGCATCTCTTAAAAACAGATTCAGCTGAGTTCATTTCTACTCAGAAGATTGGTTCGGAAAATATCCGAACAGAAGAGTTCAAATTAGAACCAGAAAAGCTGGAGAGTCTAAATGAAGGCAAAAAGGAACGGATCAAAGAGGAAGAGAGGGAAAGAGAACAGAAAGAACATTTCACAGAGAAAGAACCAGGGCGGGATGGAGAGAAAAAGACMAAATCTGCACAAACCAGAGGTCAGCAGTCAACAGATGAGCCAAAACATGTTCCAGAGAAAGCTAAGTACGAGCACATGACCGAGGAGCAGGTCAAAGCAGAACAAGCTGAGTCGGAGAAGCTAAAAGAAGAACGCATAAAAACCAAAYTGGCTACGACTGAGGAGGCTGGGACGGGTGGGATAAAGCAAGCCGAAGTCAAAACGCCTGCAAGGAAAATAATGAATCCAGAGCAAGTTAAGGAGGAACAGTTGCTCAAAAAACAAGCAGACGGAGAACAGATGCAGGCAGAGCAAGTCAAGACRGAAAACGTTCATCCAGAAAAGGTTAAGGTTGAAAAAGCAGAGCAATCACAGCAAGTAAGGGAGCTGCAAACCAAAGCAAAATACATAAAGATAATAGAAGATGAAAAGATAGAAATCAAATCGGAGGGTGTCAGAGAAGTTGAGAAAAAGAAAGATTTAAGTCAAGTAACTGCAGAGAAACCAACAATACCCACATGTCCGAGCAAAGACACAAATCCTGCAGAGAGAAAAACAGAGCAGGCGACGCTGAAGGAGAACAAACTGGATCGATGCAGAGCAGAGCTGTCCACCACAGAAAACTTGTTGGAGAGGTCCGATCATCTGACAGCTAAACTAACAGCGGCGCAACATGCCCGGAGAGAACCAGATAAAGTCGAGCAAGTTAAGACGGAGTTAGCTAAAGCCAAGGCAGAGCTAGCCAGAATAAAGGAGAAAATGAGAGGGGAACAAAAAGAGAAAGTCAAAACCAATCCTATCGAGAAGGAGGACGGTGCGTCAAAGAAYAATAGCATTTTGAGCATAAACGTGGATAAAAGCAAAGATGATAAAAAGCAGGACCAGTCACTTGAAATTCAAACTCACAGCGTGGCTGATGATTATGAACGACTCAGGGAGAAATATGGTTTTATAAACGTAATAGAAACAAACAAAATGCCAGCAGGAAATACTACTTCAGCTGATGCCAATAAAATAGATAACACACCTCCTGATGAAGCTGGGACAAAAAATAATGCAAAAATAAATAGTCTTGCATGCTTGTTTATTGCACCTGAAAATAAAACGGAAGTTAGTAATGTAACAGAAACTCAGTCTGTCCACACTGAATCATCTAAACAGTTCAAATTATCTGATGCTAATTATCCTAATAATTCATGCAATGAAACAAATGGAGACACTTCTGACAAATTAAAATGCGATAGTGGTGAAAAGTTGGAAAAGTCAGACTCGGTTATCTCACAGCAAAGASATTCTGATTTGGATAAATTGCTCCCCCTTCAAAGAAAACCTGAGTCCAGTGAGCATAGTGCAGAACTGGGTAAAGATCTGTCCATTACCCCTCCAAGATCTTTGTCACAAAAAGAACGGGCTCAGACCAAACAGGAAATACTAACTTCCAAAATAAAAGCTCATGCTGAAAAAGAGATTTCAGCAATTAAAGAAAAGGGATTTGCTTTACGAGATGGATTCATAGGCAAAAATCCATCCAAGCATTTAGCAAGTGGTCAGGGTGTCAACGTTCGGCAGAGGCCATCGTCACTGGAAGYGCCCAAGAATCAGGAAAACACAGTTTCAAACAACGTTTCACCGAAGCTTCAAATAGAGCCTTCGGGAATCCAAACAAGGCCAGCCAAGTTTGCTCCACCCCAGAGCGGTGCGGCAACAACAGGAAAGCCTGCAGCAACCACTACTCAGTTAGAGAACTTAGAAAAGGCTGCAAACCAGACAGCAAACAGAACCATGAGCCTAACCGAGGGCAAAAAACAGAACGAAGATGGAATCAAGTCATCGGTGCAAAGTAAAGAACAGGCACCAGAAAACAAAGAAGGAAATCACGCAGACTATAGAAAACAAAAAGACGAAGTTCAACAAAATGTCAAAGAGGACATTTTCAACAAAAAGAAGGAAGTCCGAACACAGGATGCAGGTGTTGAAGTAAATGTTAAACCTGTGACCACAGAGGAGGGMAAACATGAGGAAACAGCTAACATGGACTTAGTGCCACAGAGTGTAACTGATTCTAAAGAAGTGACTCTAACTGATGACAACCTGCAGATTATGGGTATAGTGGTGACTGTGCGAGAAAGAAAGCCATCAGAAAGCATTTCTCAGCCTGACATTACTGCAAAAAATGCGGAAACAGAACAAGAGTGCAACAAATCAGCTGTAGAAAAAGGCCATCCAAGTCAAGGACAAGACGAAAACAAAACTTTAAAGGAGGCTAATATAGTAAAGGAGATAAAGAAAACTCCATTGGTGGTAAAAGATAACCAAGCTAAAGTTGTTCAAAATAATCATCCTGAAAATATGCAACAAGCTTTATCGTTGGAGACAAAACAGAAACACATGACAGGAAATGTCACAGAAAAAAGAACAAATCTCCAGCAGGACACTTCTAAAGTGGACTCAGAACTCCAAGGTGAAACTCAGCAACAAGGTGTTACTGCTCCTGCTAAGGATAAAATGTTGACTGAAACTACACAGCAAAACACAACAGCAGATAAACCAAAGGACATCACAATTAAAACAGCAAAAGAAAATTTGGCAAAAAGCTCAGCAGAGGTGAAGAAAGACAATGAGAGTAATGAAGAACAAATGCAAACAGCCCATGTCAATGATAACCTTACAATAAATGTGGTCAAATCTATAATAAACAGCAGCAAAGATGACCGTTTGATAAAACAGCTGTCAGTGAAAGATACGACGAGTTTTCATCCAAGCAGTGACATAGATGGGCAAAGTGCACTTATGCATAAAGAGACAAAAGAATTTGACAAAGTGAGTCCTAATAATGAATCACCGCAGCTCAATAACAAACAGAGCAAAGAAGATATTACAGATGTTAATGTGCATATCGACAGGATTGCCATCAGAGTTGTGCCGGCAGAGACTAAAACCGACAATGAAGGAAAAGCGGAACAAAGCGACAACAAAACTTTCCATTCAGATATAAAGCATCAACAAGTTGTATCGTCAAGTTGGGACGAAAAAGCAAACACGTCAAACAACGAACCCTTTTCCAAAGGCTTCACTTTGGCAAGAAGTGAGCAGAAGAAGGAAAAAAGTCTGGAAGATAAATTAGCGGTTCAAAATGTGTTGTCCAGTGTACGAAAACTGTCTGACTCACTGAAAGCAAGTAAACAAAGCGCAAACTCAAGCAGTGAGAGCTGTAAAGCTGGAAATAAGAGAAATGAATCTAAAATACAACTAGTGGAAGAAGACTACTTTCAAATACAAGGAGTGACAGAAACAAGCAGTGAGGCTCYCAGCAATATAACAACTGCTGAGGAGAAATCAAAGGAACAGGAACTTCCAGGATTATTACCAAATACCACTGCTATCAGCAGTGAAYCTTGCAAGGAAATAAAAAGTGAAGTTTTTGTTTTCAGTCTGGATCAAAGGGACAAAAAGGCAAGTTCAGAAAACATTCAAAAYGAGAATATCAAAAAGGAACATATGGAAGTCAAAGATACATTGTCTTCAAACCAGACTGATGGTTCCATGGAGAGATGGAGTAAAACAGAAAAAGGCGAGGCAGGCCAGTTGGATCCCATCAGTAAACGCAAAGAGGAACAGCTTCATTTGTCAACAATGGAAAGACGGAGTTCAAGAGAGTCACAGCCAACAAAGACAAACCCGGCTCCAGAAAAATCAGAAGTTAAACAAAAACCAAGAGGAAGGACTTCCACGATCCCTGAGATATCAGCACTTGCAGATTACGCCAGATTGAAGGTAATTGTTTCAGAGGACAAAGATGAGACCACAGTTCATGAGTTGCCCCCCAACAAAAAGGAAGGATTCTTCCCACTAATACACACGCGTCACAGCAGACCCCCCGTGTTCACTGATGACCCTCAAAACCGCTCTGTGAAAGAGAAAAAGTTGCCGAAAAAGATGGAGACGAGTGTGAAAGTGAATAAAGAGCCCAAAACAACTGGGTTTCCTAAAATGGAGAAGGAGCACCAAAGAACTGGGATGTTCAAACTGGGAGACAAAGAAAAACAAGAGAAAACGAGTTCAGATGCTGAAGTGAATGCTGGTCTATTCAAAAATAAAGATAAAGATTTGAAAGAGACAAAGAAAACAACTCAGACAGAACAAATGGGTCAAGAAAAACTTGATGCAAGTACAAGTCAGCCAAAGAATCAAGTAATGGCCCCGTATTTTGTAGCCACCAGTGCGGACAACAACTCTGAAGTACTGCCATATTTACATCCAACTTTTGGGCAAATGCACCACAAGACAGAACACTCAATTGATTCAAAGAAAAATGCAAGTTCTGAAATACAGCAAGATAAAGACACAAGAGCTAAGGTTGAGGATGGGAGGACAAGTGGAATAAAACAAGAAACGATTACAACCCAGAATAAAGAAACCAAGAGAAAACAGCAGGATCAACAACAACAATCTAAAGAAGAAGGGGTGTCCAGGAATGTAAAAGAACAAAATAAAGAAGACATGAGAATTAAAAACATGATAGAGGAGAGAAGAGCTTCTCTAGCTGAGGAAGAAAGGAGAGCCACTAGGAGAGAGGAGGAGAGAAGAGCAAGGGAGCGCGAGGCCGTTGCCATCATGATCAAAGAGAGGCGAGAAAAACAAAAACAAGCAGAGATAAAAGCAGAGGACGAAAGAAAAACAAAACAGAGAGAGGAGGAGAACGTTCTGAAGGAAGACGAGAAACAAACAAAACAAAAAGTAGAACCCAAAATGACAGAAAGTGACAAGAGAAGAATGAAAGTCGAGGAAGAAATAATGGCAAAACTGAAAGAAAAGGAAAACGAGAAGAGGATAAAACAACAAAAAGAAGAAAGAAATGCTCRAGTGGACCAGCAAAGGAAAACGTCAGAGGAGAAAAGGGAAGTGGTCCAAGGGGAGCAACAAAGGAGGCCTGGACAAGAGGAGCACTTGAGAAAATTTGCACCTGAGGAGCATCAGAAAAGAGGAGCCGAGGAGAACAAAATGAGAGATGCAATAAAACAGCAACAGAGACAAAAGGCACTTGAGGAGCAACAAAGGAAAGCTGCTCAAGAGGAAATGCAAAGAAAAGCTTTACAAGAACAACAGAAAAAATTGGTGGAGGAACAGAAAAGGAGTGCTGCACAAGAGGAGCAACAAAGAAAAACTGTACTTGAGGAAAAACAGAAAAGAGCTGCATTTGAGGAGCAACAGAGGAGAGCAGCTCAAGAGGAGAGGCAACGGAAAGCTTTACAAGAGGAACAGCAGAGAAGAGCTGCAGAAGAGGAGAAACTAAGAAGAGATGCAGAAGTGGAGCAACAGAGAAGAGCTGCTCAAGAGGAGCAACAGAGAAGAACTGCTCAAGAGGAGCAACGGGAGCAACAAAGAAAAGCTGCACAAAAACAGCAAAAGAGAAAATTTGCAGAGGAGCAGCAAAGGAGGGATGCTCAAGAGGAGCAACAAAGAAGAGTTGCACAAGAGGAGCAACAAAGAAGAGTTGCACAAGAGGAGCAACAAAGAAGAGTTGCACAAGAGGAGCAAC